GACTTTTGAGGCTGGGAGAAATAAAATCAAGGAAATGTGTTTTTTTTCCTCTGGCAGACATGTTTTTGGGCCCCTTTTAGTTGTAAAGGCAGATAGGATAATGACAAACATTGCCTTTACAAGCATGGTTAATATGCCTTAACGAGACAGCTGCATCCATTGGGTGATTCTTGGAGAGGGACTTGGGAAATCCAAGGACTTTACTGCAAGATGCCTCTGTCATGTGGAATTCCTGCAATCAGAGATAGAGGCAACTTACTAATACGACAATCCTCAATACTGCAAGTTTTCTGAGCGTCAGGCTATTACAATGCTTTGCAGATCCATTACTGTACTTCCACCACCCTGGAGTTTCATTATTCTGGAGGTTTGTTTCTTTACTAGCTTAGGTACCTGGCAATGCCTTGGTTAGATATTTTGTAGTGCTATTTATTCATTGTTTCTTTTTGGATTTTATAAATAGTCTCATTAGAAAATGTATACAAATATGGGCAAACTACAACCCTCCTTTTTACCTATCACTGTTCCCAAACCCTGAAAGCATTTAAAGGTGGTCATGTTGGGCATGTGTGCCAAGTTTGGTCCAGATCCTTTGTTGGTGGGGTTCACAATGCTGTCTGCAAGTGAGTGAAATACATTGTCCGGGGTCCATGTCGTCCCCCTCCCCCAACCCACCAGTATGTAGAGTTGGTCATGGTGGGTATGTGTTTTTTCAAATCCATCATTGGTGGGGTACACAGGGCTCCCTGGATGTGGGTGGACTGCAATTCCCATCATGCCGGGTCAATCACACAAGTATTTTCTGTTGGTTGTTGGGGGAGGCATATCGGTGTGCTAATTCTAGTCCAGATCAATTGTTGGTGAGGTTCCCAATGGTCTCTGGATGAACGCGGACTTTAATTCTCATCGTTCAGGGTCAATTCCTCCAAACCCCGCCAGTATTTTTCTGTTGGTCTGTGCACCAAGTCTGTCTAGCTCTGTTGTTAGTGGGAGTCACATGGCTCTCTGGAAGTGGGAGCCATCTTGAAAATTCACCATCCACATACAGTCATATATACTTACAAACATGTTCTCACTTTTATTATAGAGAGATATAGATTTATTTATTTTTACTAAAAGCAGCTTTGCAATTGTGGTCAAGTTTTGGATAACCCCCATTTGGATAACCCCCATTAACAGGAAGTAGCTGCTTCCTGTTAAGTGAGGGTTAAGGGGATTTCCCCCTCAACCAGGGTCTCCTTAGCAATTGTGAATAACACACAGTTATGAATGTGTAACTCCAGGTTAAGTATTTGTAATTCCCCAACAGGATTTAGGTCACCATGTCTACACTTCCATTTATCCATTTATCAACAGTAAAACTCTTGTGAAACGGGTTGATCTGGTTTGGAACTCTACCACAAATTTGCAGAAAACAAATGAGCTTCTGAGCAGTATTTCAGGCATTAGGATGAGAGGTTCCTAGCAGGCTACAGATATTTTGTGATGAGCCAACTGGTTGCAGATGGAAGAGAACCTTTGACCGAAACAGAAGTAGTTCAGGAGAGTATCTGTAAATGTATAAGTCATAGATTTTCAGCCACAAATGGCAATCTTTCTTGTCAGGCAACTACTTCATAAAAAGTATAGAAAATAGTGGCTCTGCTGGTTCTTGCAGTTTTCACTGTGATACCACACTAAGAAACATTAAGACTGGTTTGATGAAAATAATAACGAGATCCAACAGTTAATTGATAAGAAAAGGGAAGCCTTCCAAATATGACACAGAGACACAAACGACACTGCTAAGAAAACGACCTACACCCGTGCAAAAATTTAAGTCCAAAGAAGGATCAGAGCATTCAAAAACATCTGGTGGATAAAAGGCTTAAGAAATCCAACACTTTGCGGGTGTCCATTATGCATGGGGATTCTTTAATGCCACAAAGATCACTGATGGCCCAAGAAATCATGTCATACATCCACTATGTTCATCAGATGGAGCCAAACTTCTGAAGGATAAAAAATCAATTGCAATGCATCGGAAAGAGCACTACAACAACCTCCTTAACCGCAGCTCCATCGTGGCCGAAGAGGTTTTCTTGCAAATCTCGCAAAAACAAACCAGGGCTGAGCTTGTTGAACTGCCTAATTTGGAGGAGGTCAGTAAAGCCATCAGCCAATAAAAAAATAACAAAGCTAGCAGGCCTGATAGGATCCCTGCTGAAATTTTTAAGGAGGATGGACCTGAGTTGACACAACAACTCCACCAGCTCATCGAAAAAGTGTAGGCAACAGAGAAAATCCCAGCAGACTTCAAAGATGCTACCATCATCATCCTTTTCAAAAAAGGGGGGAAACAGACTCTGGAAACTATTGAGATATCTCCCTTCTAACCTCTGCTAGAAAAATCCTCTCAAGAATCCTTGCAAACTGCCTTCTACTTATCTCAGAAGACATCCTTCCAGAATCACAGAATGTCTTCCGTCCCTCCAGAGGAACAGTGAATATGATATTCACTGCACGACAGCTCCAAGAAAAATGCAGGGGATAAAATCAACCTTTGTACATGGCATTCATTGACCTTGCAAAGGTATTCAACACAGTGAATCGCAGCACTCTCTGGACCATCTTCCAAAAGATTGGATGCCCTGACAAATTTGTGAACATCCTGCTGCTCCTCCATGATGACATGATGGCAACGGCTCCCAAAGCAATGGCTCCCAAAGTGACCCATTTAAGGTAGAATCAGGTGTCAAACAGGGATGTGTTATTTTCCCAACTCATTCTCCATCTTCATCACTGTGATACTGCACCTTGTTGATGGGAAGCTACCCACTGGCATGGAAATCATCTATTGGACAGATGGCAATCTGTTTAACCTCAGCAGACTGAAAGCCAAAACCAAGGTCTCAACATCTGTTATAGAACTCCAATATGCTGATGATAATGTAGTCTGTGCTAATTCAAAAGAAGACCTACAAGCCACTCTAAACACCTTTGCAGAAGCATATGAAAAGCTTGGCCTCTCACTGAACATTGAGAAAACCAAAGTGCTCTTTCAACAGGCACCAAGCAACCCCTCTACAATGCCAGAAATACAGCTTAACAGTATAACATTAGAAATGTTTGATCATTTCTGCTTCCTTGGCACCCACTTTGCAAAAGAAAATTCAATATTGACACTGAAATACAACACCATCTGAGCTTTGCAAGTGAAGCATTTTTCTGAATGAAGCAGAGAGTGTTTGAGGATCAGGACATTTGTAGAGATACTAAGATGCTTGTCTTTAAAGCTATTGTCCTCCCAACCCTGTTATACACCTGCGAAACATGAACCATCTACAGATGTCACACTCAACTTCTAAAACAACTCCATCAGTGTTGCCTCCAAAAAAAACCCCTGCAAATCTCTTGGGAAGACAGGCAGACAAATTTCAGCATTCTGGAAGAAGCAAAGACACCAGCATCGAAATGATGATCCTACACAATCAACTCCACTGGACTGGCCACATTGTCTGAATGCCCAGTAACCGTGTCCCAAGAATGAAAAACAGAATATTGGTGGACAGGAAAATAGATTAAAAGATAGGCTTAAAGCTAACCTTAAAAATAATGGCATAGACACTGAGAACTGGGAAACCCTGGCCTTTGAGCACTCTAACTGGAGATCAGCTGTGACCAGCAGTGCTGTGGAATTCGAAGAGGCACGAATGGAGGGTGAAAGGGAGTAATGTGCGAAGAGGAAGGCATGTCAAGCCAACCCTGACTGGGACTGTCTTCTACCTGGAAACCCATGTCCTCACTGTGGAAGAACCTATGGGTCAAGAATAGGGCTCCACAGTCACCTACATATCCACCGCAAAGACACTATTATTTATTTACAGTATTTCTATACCGCTTTTCTCACTCCTAGGGGGACTCAAAGCTGTATAGAAACACTTGGAAGGCCATCATACTCGGATTAAAATGTGCACATGTGCTGGTGTAGTCCACATCAGAGTATACAAAGGAAATCACATGTATATATATAATCATGCAAATATGCAGTTTTCAGTTAAAATCGGGTTTTGAGCGCACCTTTTTAACATGTGTTGTTCAGCTGTTAATCTGAATTAGTGCACATTTTTGTGAAACATCATTTAGCCACCCACCCCCTTTTATCCCGTTTTCTTCTGTGTTTTAGAGCATGCGTAGAAGGGCCCTCAGGAGGAAGTGGAGAATTTGTTTAAGTAAGCAGAACACCAGTGGTGTAGTCTAGAAGGCTTGGAATACTATATCAATCATTCCTGTCCATTGTCCATACTGATGGGAGCTGTAATCCATCAGTTTCTGGGTATTTCTTAAACATACTTGGTAGATGGAGGGGGGGGGGGGGCTGAAATTCATTTGGTTCACATTTCACTCTAAATTTACTCCATTTTGTGGTTCTGAACCAATACTTAACTGGAGTGTTATCCTTCAAAATGTACACTTGCCTGGGGTTTAGAATGCCATTCTCCAGTGAAGAATTGTAGCTATTAGGGCAAAATGCCCAGAGAAAGATATATGTAAAGACATGTCATTTTTGTGGGTTTTTTCGGGCTATAGAGCCATGTTCTAGAGGCATTTCTCCTGACGTTTCGCCTGCATCTATGGCAAGCATCCTCAGAGGTGTGAGGTCTGTTGGAAGTAGGAAAAATGGGTTTATATATCTGTGGAATGGCTGGGGTGGGACAAAGAGCATTTTTACTGCTTCCAACAGACCTCACACCTCTGAGGATGATTGCCATAGATGCAGGCGAAACGTCAGGAGAAATGCCTCTAGAACATGGCTCTATAGCCCGAAAAAACCCACAAGAACCTAGTGATTCCAGCCATGAAAGCCTTCGACAATACATGTCATTTTATTTTGTAAAAATAACATGTTAGATTAGAGGAAAGCACGTTTTGGAGAAAATATACACAAAACACATATGGAATTGTTTGCTTCCTTCCCTTGTCATTTTTTTTAAACTTCCAACTGTAGCAGACATGGGAGAAACTCTGCTTGGGATGAAAATAAGAAACAGAAATTGACAGATTTATGATGGATAGAAATCTCTTTGTTCGCATCACTGCTGGAAATGGAAGTAGGTCATCTATTTTTGTTTAGTGGCAAGGGAAGGCAGCAAACAAGGAAGAAAACATGAGGTAAGGAATGGCTCTTCCTTGCTGTTGAAGAGGATGCATCGCTTATAGTCTATGGAAAACCTCTGACTTTCAGACACATCCCTAAGCCTCCCAACTGACATACAAAATTGGACAGATTTGCAAATTATAGATAAACTTGGTTCAATCATACAAGGCAAAGGTGGGTAACTTGTGGTTCTCCAGGTATCATTCTACTGCTCTCTCTTCTTCATGTACGGCAAGTGATGCAGCTTGATTCTCATGTCTGATTGCAATTCGTTTCAGCACAAATCCATCCTGGTGAACACAATACTCCCAAATTACAAATTGTTTAATTGTAAAGGCATCTTAGTGCTCTGACATGAATAGTTCCATTATATTCTATACAATGGCATTGTAAGTCATTATAAAGGAGATCAGAGCAACCTAATAATAGAATTTTAAAATTGCCAGGATATTTCTCTTAGAAGTGTCCAGGGGCGGCTCAACCCATTAACCAAAGTAAGCATTTGCAGTATAGTTGATTTTGCCCAGGGGTGCTCTTGAGGCGCCCTTGGGAGAAAATAGACCTTGACATATGCGAGTTGTAGTTACTGGGATGGATAGTTCACCTACAATCAAAGAGCATTCTGAACTCCACCAATGATGGAATTGAACCAAATATGGCACACAGAACTCCCACGACGAACAGAAAATACATATCAGTGATTGGTTTGGGGGGGGGGGCACCAAAATACTTTTGCTTACCATTGAAAATTACCTAGGGCCGCCTCTGGAAGTGTCCCAAAGATGCTTGAGCCACTGACCTCACCCTAGGGAGTTCTTCCCCAAAGATCTTAAAAACATATTTTGTATGGTTGGAATTGCTTTTTCCAACTAACTAATTTGCAAACATTTTTTCCAATGAATGTAAATGTTTAAACACTTGGCAAGGGTGGGAATGATATGACCTTCCAGATTATGTTTAAATGCAATATACGGCTTTCCTCACTATTGTCCAGCTGGGTAGAAAAAACTGAGTTTTTATTTTGCAAATATTGATCAATATATTCAGACTGCCATATGAAAAAAGAACACTGAAAACCTATTGAAGAGGCGCATGGGACATTGACTCTGATGGGATGTGTACTTATTTGTAAAATCAGATAAGGAAGAGTGAGCAAACTAATGGCAACCATCTCCTTCATTTACACAAAAGGAACTCCAGATGTTGTTCAACTGAAATTCCCAGTAATTCTCTGTGTTGTCCAGATGGTTAATGGGAACAGAGGTTTCTTGCTTTGCAAATATTAACCAAATATAAAAATGTGCATATCTCCTGTTACATGAAATAAGAATATAGATTCCAAAGTGAATATGGATTGTTGACTCTGTAGAGAAATCAACTGAGGAAGCTAAAGCTGGCCCAAACATATGGCTTTTATGGACTTATCTCTCCATCAGCATCAAAGAACTTTTTCCCTTCAAATACAGCTGCCATCTCCATTGTTCTCCAGATGGCAGTCCCACTTACCACAACCGCTTCCTCACTAACTGTCCTTTGCTGCTTCAACCAGAAATGAGCTTCTTGGCATCTCTTTGTGTCTTCTTTCTGATCTTCTTCATTCACGGTGAGTCAAAACAGGTTCTATTGTGACTAAGTAAAGTAAAAACTTGGAGACTGTTCTTGAAAATATATACACACAGAGATATAGACACACACATACATAGATACAGGCAGTCCCCAAGTTACAAATACCTGACTTACAGATGACTCATAGTTAAGAACTAAGTGAGACACCAAAAAGTGAGAGATATGTACTCCCCGGAAGGGAAAGTCACTCTTGGAAGAGTTATAATGGGGAAAATGTGTTTCCACTGAAGCTTTATCAGAATGATGACTGTGGTACTTGACTCCAACAAAACTTGCTAAAATGCATAAGGGAAGAAACAATAAGTGTTGGAAATGCAAGGAACAAGAAGGAGCATTCCTCTACATGTGGTAGTCCTATAAAAAAGCAAGGGAATTCTGGGACAAGGTACAAATTACCCTGCAGGAAATTTTAAAATCAAAGATACAATTAGAACTCAAATTATTTTTTATTGGGAATGCCAAATAAACAAACAAAATCACTAAATTAAAAAGTATTGCACTTCATGACAATTGCAGCATGGATGCTATATGCACAACACTGGAAGAAGTCGGACATTCTAACAACAGAAGACTGGGTTGTAAAAGTTTTTAGAATAGTGGAAATTGATAAATTGGCAATGATTGACAATGAAAAAACTGAAAACAGCTTTATCAAATACTGGGAACCATTTCTAATTTTTTTTTTAAAAAAGAGAAAACATTTTTATAGGAAGCTACATAATTTATTTTGTCAGAATCATTGTATGGAATCTGTAAATAATAACTATCACGCTAGAAGGAAGAATGGAAAAATATTGTAGTAAGAAGGAAGAATAGAACTGTACATGGCTTTCTCTAACCCAAAGGATAAGAAGTCACCACATCAGGAGAGGTGAGAGGAGATAATGGCATAGACAAGTACAATAATAGTATAAACATTAGGAAATATTGCACTGGTTATGTATATATACATGTTTATAGATTTTTATTGTTGTTCTTTTTGATAAATATGCAAATTATGGATTATATGGCAATGTAGACTAAGATACTCCAGATCAAAGCAGATAATGTTAATCATCTGCTTTGATAATCTAGACTATATGGCAGTGTAGAAGGGGCCTAAATCCTGAATTGCCAAATCCACAGCATGGAAGTGTTATCAAAATTTAGACCCTAAAATTATGAATTATGACCTGCTGCCCCACTGAGATATACAGCAAACTCATTTGTCCTTTTATGCATTTCTCCTAAAACCATAGGACGTAATCTCATAATTAGCATAATCCCCTCACAATTCCTCAGGAAGTATCAAGGGACACACAATGGGTTTTGTGCAAAAGCCTCTGGGTCTTTTCCTGTTTCTCCTTGATAGGATCTGGATTATTCCTGGGAATGCTTCCTTACTCCCATCACCAAATAAGACCTCTCTCTGGGGCTCCCATTGAAATGGTCAACATCTTAAAGCACCCTTTGTAATGACCAGAGCTGAGATATCAAGACCCGTTTTAGCTCATTATCACTTGCCCCACTGCATTCCTTCTGATTGATGGATCAATAAATTGACACAATATTCAAAATAATCCAATGATAGTTTATTAAACTTTCCCACCATGGTGGTGACCAACTAACAATGATGTCAAACAGAGCCCTGGATCAACCACAGAGAGAATCCTAGTGAGACACTCTTTTAACCAATCAGGAGCCAGCATGGCAATCTTGGATAGCTGTCAAAATGCTATGAATAAAATGTATGTTTGCAATTGTGCATGTCAATTCTTTGGAGTGCTGTCTCCGCTGACATCCTCTCAAGCCACTGATTTTTCCTTCAACTCATCTGTGTCTCATTTGGTCTTCTGGGAAGGTTGACATCCTGGGCTCCAAACCCGTGGTTCTCGCGGAAGCTGAAATCACACAACAGAAGCATGACACTTGAAACAGATATAGGCATTTTGAACACCCAAAAGTTAAGCAGTATAGGGGTTTTTGTATAATAGGTCTGAAAAATGTTCTTTTCATATGTAGCAACACTGTGATGTTGAAAGGAAGTCTGAACAGAAAACATGTTTAGTCAGAATTGCAATATGCTTTAGGGAGTCACTGGTAGAAGGGACTTCGCTATGAATTTCTAGATCTTCCAACATGAGTTTATGTCAGTTTTCATTACAAGCTGATCACAGAATTGCCTAGAGATTCCTAGAGAGGTGTTCTCTCTAGAAATCTGTAGTACTCCAGCATGGCTGGAGGAAATTGGCCATAAAATTGCATTGGAGACTATTGAGAGAAAATTTTAAAATCAAATCCATGCAAATCTACAAATGTGGAGGGATGACTGTACACAGAATTGCAACATAATCTCATGTTTCTTCTTGACCTCTTGAGTCCATTTCTTTCTGCAATAGGTATATCTTCTGAAACATGCCTTTGTGTCCGCGGCTTTTGTAGGAATGGCTGGGTGCAATATATGAATGCCTGTTATAAAGTTGAGAAGAAACGAAATAACTGGAATGATGCTGAGGCAAGTGTGGTATCAAAGGGTGTCGGGACAAGGGGAAGGAAGGGCTTTTGGCAATAAACATGGTCAGTTTCTCTGTGAATTCTCCCCAGATGGCTTGTCAGAGGTATGGCACGAATGCCCACCTTGCCTCCATCCACAGCGCAGAGGAAAATGACTTCATTTTTCACCTGATGGGCAAGCCACTGGATCGCTTGGAAGGAAAGGCCTACTGGATTGGTGCTCATGACACTTTCAAGGTACATGTGTAGCAAAGTAATGATTCAGAATGACCAAAGGTACAGGCTATACTTTGAAAACTAAAAAGTGTTATTGCATTCAGATTCCAGCTCTGTCTTACAAGAGTCACAAGATTCTAGAGCAGTGGGTTTCAACCTGTGAGTCCCCAGGTGTTTTGGCCTAGAACTCTCAGAAATCGCAACCAGTTTGTCAGATGTTAGGATTTCTGGGAGATGAAGGCCAAAACATCTGGGGACCCACAGGTTAAGAACCACTCACTACTCTAGAGGTAAATGAAAATTTGTCCCCTTACCTATGAGTACGAAAGAAATATTTAGTCCATTTTTCATCTGAATTATTTTTCACTCATAATGAGCCTGTACTGTTTGATGTCCTATCTAGTAAGTAAGCAAAACACAATGAAATCTCCCCTTTCCCAGATTCCTCAGGATGTGGTGATTCCACCTTTCATCTGCTCTCTCTCATGTCACTCTGGTGCTCCTGCTATTCTCGCTACAGGCACCAAGCTGTGACTACTGTTGTTCTTGTTCCCAGTAGCTGCCACAAAGCCCAGACCATTGCAGGAAAATTAAGGTTAGTGATCCAGTGGCACTTAACTGGTTCTGGACCTGTTAAGCCATGCAGACATCATCCAACTAGCGAGTTGGCTGGGGTGTGTGCAGTGCAGACACTTGCCAGGTCTCAGGACGATTCAGGGAATGCCCCACTCTAGATCAGTCTCGCCATTTGTGATATGTTTAGATGACTTGCTAGTTAAATAAGCATTTCATTATAACCTCAGGTGAAAAAGTAATCTTCCTTTGACAACAGTGAATGTTTAATGAAAGGACTGGCAATACAGGCAGTTGATCTTTCCAGTTCAGATATCTCAGAAAGTTTGTTTTGCTAGAAATGTCTTCTTTCCAATTATGGTCACTAACTCTGTGAAGAGAGAGTCAGCTGTGGTGTCATGGCTTGAGTGTTGGGCTAGAATTCTAAGACACCAGGGTTTACTTTCCTGCTGTACCACTGAAACTCACCCGGTGATCTTAGACAAGTCACACTCTTTCATCCTCAGAAGAAAGCAAAGGCAAACCAATTCTACCAAGGAATCAAATAACAAATTATGTGAATCTTTCCACAGGAGGGGACTTTTGTGTGGACAGATGGTTCCAGATTTGATTTTCAATCATTCTTTCCTACTGAGCCTAATGGCCTTCCAGGAGAACACTATCTGGGGTCCTGGTACTTACAACATGGTGAGAAAATATTGCTATACCTTATAATAAACTCCTCTGATCACAATGAGCTGCATAGTTTCAAAGGGGAAGTCAATGTGAGTGGGAATAAAACTATTAGTGAGATGGTATTCGTCACTATGTGCATTTGCTGCACTCAGACTAGGAACACAAGGATAGATGAAGAAAGGGAAAACTGGAGTTCCTTTGTTTCCCTCCCAAATCAGCATTCTTATCCTTAATGCTGGGTGTTTGGAACACCGAAAAAACTTGCTAACTCTCACTAATCACCATTCTTTCCTTTTATCAATGGACATGGTAATATGTCGTGACACTGTGATGGACAAGACTATGGCTCAGACTCTCCCAGTGCTCCAGGTGGAAATCAACCACTTGGAGGTCATACTCCTCCCTGCTCCCCACTCCCAATGCATTGTGTGGTTTTAATAATTGCTTGTACTGTTTATATGTTTTTAATTCTATATATATGTTTATTTTATTATATGTTTTACGTAGCATTGAATTATTGCCCATTGTAAGGCTGCTCTGGGTCCCCTTCGGGATGAGAAGGGCAGAGTATAAATACAGTAAATAAATAAATAAATAAATAAATAAATAAACCTCCTTGACCCACTGTGCCATGGAAGAGGCAATTTGCCCACTACAGAGTAAAGTAGAAGGGAGGAGGCAAGGCTAACAATGACCCTGAAGAAGAGAAGCAGCAGCTGAGATGGGTGCAACTTCACACTGGGTGGCAACACCCAGAACTCAACCTTACATAGATCCAGCCATTTCAGTTCTGGTTGATGCTTGGTTAGCACTGAAATACACAAGTTCTGATTGTGTATATCTAAGTTACCACAAAGCTGATGGAGTAGCTAGGTCGTATTCCAATTCATCTGGAAGAGAGACTGTGATTTTCATTTCTCCCAGGATGCCTCAGACAACTATCAATCAGTTTGGTGATCTCTCTCTGCCTCTTTCAGGACACATCACCTGGAATGACTATGATATCACAATGAAATTTCCATCTGTTTGCAAATACTACTTGGCAAATGGGTAAGCACGTGATTTGTTTCACTTGAAACTGTATCTTTTTTGCTATGCCAGTGAACTTCTTGGGATGTACAGGAGAGGGCATCCTTTAAAAAAATATTATTAAGTGAATTAATGGCATACAGAATATGAGAAATAAAATCATTTAAAGATAACTGAATACACATAATACAGATTTTTGTGTAAATCCTGTCACATTCCCATACTTATTAATAGTTTCCATCAAGCTATGAATGCTTTTTAATGGTCTTCTATAACGCATACCATATTATCAGCATATGCTTTAGCTTTGAATTATTTTTTAAAATAATCTTTATTGAGAGTTTTCATTAAAATACATCTATATATATAAATCTGTAAGAGGCATCCAACGGGACAGTAAAACTCAACCCCCCCCCAACGAAAATTAACCAAAATTCCCATGCACATACCTCAACCCACAAGGTACAAACATATCGAATCAGAATAAAAAAACCACAACAACACACTCACAAAAGGACAAAACAACTGAGCATGCGAAATGGCACCCAGCCGCAAGTTCCCTGGCGTGCGCACATGGCCTGCTGGCCAACGCTCCCTCCGGGCAAGCCACGCCCCCATCCTCCATCACCCCGCCCCCCAAGATCACCCCACACCAAGGCCCCTCCCTCCCCCTGCCCGCCCCACGCGATCACGCCACAACACGCCGCCTCCAAAGAAGCCCCACCCACTCCAAACCCCGCCGCGCTGCTTCCCGCCCTGTCAAAAACAACCCTCCTCCCCCTCCTTCATCTTACCCCGCCCCCCACCCCTTCCCTCCCTGAGTCAATCCTTCCCTCCTCCCACCCCCCTCCGGTAAGACACGCCCCCTTCCTTCGCCCCCCCACCCCTTCCCTCCCTGAGTAAATCCTTCCCCCCTCCCACCCCCCTCCGGTAAGACACACCCCCTTCCTTCACCCCCCACCCCTTCCCTCCCTGAGTCAATCCTTCCCTCCTCCCACCCCCCTCCAGTAAGACACGCCCCCTTCCTTCACCCCCCCCCCACCCCTTCCCTCCCTCAATCCTTCCCTCCTCCCACCCCCCCTCTCCGGTAAGACACATCCCCTTCCTTCGCCCCCCACCCCTTCCCTCCCTGAGTCAATCTCTCCTCCTCCCACCCCCCCCAGTAAGACACACCCCCTTCCTTCCCCCCGGCGGGCCCAATCAAGGAAGAGGAAAAACATTGAAGGAAGGAAGGAAACAGAGAAGGAAACATGGAAGCAAAGAGTGAAGGAAAGAAGGAAAGAGGTAGAGAAGGAAGAAAAGAGAGAAAGAGGAAATGAAGAGGGATGGAAAGAAATGGGTAGAGAAAGAAGGAAGGAGATAAGGAAAGAAAAGGAAGGAAAGAGGAGCGAAGGAAGAAGAGAAAGAAAGAGAAAGAGGGGGGAAGGAAGGACAGACAAAAGGAAGAATGGAAACAAAAACCAAAGGAAGGAAGGAAGGAAAGAGGCAGAGAAGGAAGAAAGAGAAAGGGAAAGAAAAGAAAAAAGGAAGAAGGAAAGAGGAAGAGAAGGAAGGAAGGAGAGAAGGAAAGAAGAAAAGGGAATGAGGGAAAGAAGGAGAGAAAGAGGGAGGTAAGGTGGGCCACATCAACGCATGGCAGGGAAAGGGGAGGTAGGACTCCCAAGACCCAACATAAAGCACGAGAAGGGTTTGGTAAGCAATGGGAAGAAAGGAAGGAGGGAAGGCAGGAAAGAAAGAGGTACCGAAGGAAGGAAGAAGAGAAAGTAGAAAGGAAAGAAAAATAAAAGGAAGGAAAGGCAGGAAAGAGGTAAAGAAGGAAGGAGAAAAGGAAATAAAAAGTGAAAGAAGGAAGGAAACATGGAGGAAGAAAGAAGAGCAAAGGAAGAAAGGAGGGAGGGAAGAAGGAAAAAGAGAAGGATGAAACCAAGGAAAAGAAAGAAGGAAAGAAGAAAGAAAGAAAGAAAGAAAGAAAGAAAGAAAGAAAGAAAGAAAGAAAGAAAGAGGAAGAGAAGGAAGAAAGAGAGAAAGGGGGAGAAAAAGGGGGAAGGAATAGGTAGGTACCTCTCTTTCATAATACTCCAGATATCTACCTCTACTTTGAAAAGATTTACTATAGGCCACAGCAACACGTGGCAGGGTACAGCTAGTTTTATATAAAATCAGTAATAAAAAGAAAAGGAGAAAAGGGAAAAAGAGAGAGTGTGTGTCAAGCATAAGGGGTCCTCCCCCAAAATCACCCTAGACGAAGGGGAAGGGCTAGCGAGAAAAAGAAAGAAAAAGAAAAAGAAACAAAGGAAAAAAGAACCACCACATAAACTTTTTTTTTCTTTTTGAATTTCCGAGTATCTTCCGTGAGGTATCTTCCTTTTTTTTCTTTCCTTTCCATCATCTGTTTATCCTTCTCCCATTCTTTCGTATAGGGTCGATATATTCTTTTTATATCAATATTATACAGTTTTTGTATTTCAAGTATTCTGTAACTTTCGTCCAATCTGTTTCTTTTATCGGCTTTCCTTTATTTTTTTTAGACATCACGTAGGTAAGTCTGTCCATATTTCTTATCTTTTCCAGACAATCTTCTTCTTCTGGTATATTGTTCTTTTTCCATAATTTTGCATAGCAGATTCTTGCCACTGTGGTTAATAAAAACAGAAGTTTGTCAATATTTTTATCTAATTTCTGCTCTGTTATCCCTAGCAAGAATATCTCTGATTTAAGGGTATGTTTATTTTTAGTATTTTTTGCAACATATCTTGTATTTTCTTCCAATATGTCTTTAGCTTTGAATTCTTCTTCTTTTATTTTCATCCCTTTAATACAGCTGTCTTTCCTAATGCTAATATTTAATATTTCTACTATCCATATGGAAAGCAGAGGTGACAAAGAGCACCCTTGACTCATTTCTTTTTGGATCTCAATATATTTTGACATTTGGCCATTTATCCTTAATTTGGCTTTATGTTTTGAATAAAGGGCACTGACTGCACTTTTAAATTGCTGACCCATCTCATAACAAGCCAATACGTTTTCTATAAACTCCCAACAGACGTTACCAAATGCTTTCGCTGCATCTAGAAATAAAAGTGCCACTACTCTGTTAGGTTATTGTTCAGCAACGCATAACATATTAAGGATCGTTCTCACAGGAGGTAGCATCCTTCATGCTACCAGACAATTGTCCTCCCAGTTAGGTTTATTTGTGGGAAAGGCCTCCAGTTCCAGAAGATTTTTCTCTTTCTCTAATTACAGCATTTTCTTCTCTCTCTTTCTTCATCTCCTCAATCCTCCCATATAAATGTAATTAATGAAGAGGGGTCGTCCTTCCTTCCTTCCTTCCTTCCTTCCTTCCTTCCTTCCTTCCTTCCTTCCTTCCTTCCTTCCTTCCTTCCTTCCTTCCTTCCTTTCTTTCTTTCTTCATGTCAGGGGCGACTTAAGAAACTGCAAGTTGCTTCTGGTGTGAGAGAATTGGCTGTCTGCAAGGACATTGCCCAGGGAATGCCAGGATGTTTTGATGTTTTACAGGGTGAGGCAACATAACTTCCTTTTTTAAAATGCACACCATTCAGTCGGTTGAAGACGTAGCGGAGCGCTAGTGGTCTCATTCGAGAGGCAGGAGTATAAAGTTTTGTCCTGACTCAGTTCAGTTGCCATTATGCGTTGGAACAGTGAGGAGCGTGCTTTTGCTGTTGAGGCCTACTTCTGGAGCGGGTTTGGAGTGGCTGGCCCGCTCTCCAGATTTGGCCCCTTATGATATTTTTCTATGGGGTTTTCTGAAATCCCGTGTTTATGTGAACGGTCCAAGGACCCTACAAGATTTGAAGACCAAAATCCAGGAAGAAATTGCCAACATAAAGCCTGCTATGCTGGCAAGAGTCATGACAAACGCCAGAAATCGGTTTACTCAGTGTATGGAGAATGGGGGACGTCACCTACCTAATTTGATCTTCAAAACTACGTAAAACAAAACTTTAGGTATGCGCCCACATTATAATTTTTTTTTTTAAAAATCTGATTCATACAATGGGTTTCATTAAGTTTTGAAAAAAGAAGTTATGCTGCCTCACCCTGTACTATCTTTTGAGGGAGGCTTCTCTCATGCCCCCACATGGGGAGCCAGAACAGACAGAGGGAGCTCATCTCCCCAGATTCGAACCTGCAATCTTGTCAGTTTTCAGTCCTGCTGGCACAAGGGTTTAACCCACTGTGCCACCGGGGGCTCCTCGTTCTTTATTGACATTCTCACTATTTCTGCTCTATATAACCTTCTTTGACTACCATGGGATATATTAGCCCCCAACATCATGACTACTGCAAAATCCATACAGGAGTAGGCCAGTAGTATAGAAATTCGATGGCGCAGGTGCCTGTACAGTTGCAAAGTATGTACCCAAACATCAGCCATGTATAGGCGCTTTCCCTTAGAATCATAGAATCATAGAATCAAAGAGTTGGAAGAGACCTCATGGGCCATCCAGTCCAACCCCCTGCCAAGAAGCAGGAATATTGCATTCAAATCACCCCTGACAGATGGCCATCCAGCCTCTGTTTAAAAGCTTCCAAAGAAGGAGCCTCCACCACACTCCGGGCAGAGAGTTCCACTGCTGAACGGCTCTCACAGTCAGGAAGTTCTTCCTCATGTTCAGATGGAATCTCCTCTCTTGTAGTTTGAAGCCATTGTTCCGCGTCCTAGTCTCCAAGGAAGCAGAAAACAAGCTTGCTCCCTCCTCCCTGTGGCTTCCTCTCGCATATTTATACATGGCTATCATATCTCCTCTCAGCCTTCTCTTCTTCAGGCTAAACATGCCCAGCTCCTTAAGCCGCTCCTCATAGGGCTTGTTCTCCAGACCCTTGATCATTTTAGTCGCCCTCCTCTGGACACATTCCAGCTTGTCAATATCTCTCTTGAATTGTGGTGCCCAGAATTAGACACAATATTCCAGGTGTGGTCTAACCAAAGCAGAATAGAGGGGTAGCATTACTTCCTTAGATCTAGACACTATGCTCCTATTGATGCAGGCCAAAATCCCATTGGCTTTTTTTGCCGCCACATCACATTGTTGGCTCATGTTTAACTTGTTGTCCACGAGGACTCCAAGATCTTTTTCACACTTACTGCTCTCGAGCCAGGCATCCCCCATTCTGTATCTTTGCATTTCATTTTTTCTGCCAAAGTGGAGTATCTTGCATTTGTCACTGTTGAACTTCATTTTGTTAGTTTTGGCCCATCTCTCTAATCTGTCAAGATCGTTTTGAATTCTGCTCCTGTCCTCTGGACTATTGGCTATCCCTCCCAATTTGGTGTCGTCTGCAAACTTGATGATCATGCCTTCTAGCCCTTCATCTAAGTCATTAATAAAGATGTTGAACAGGACCGGGCCCAGGACGGAACCCTGCGGCACTCCACTTGTCACTTCTTTCCAAGATGACGAGGAAGCATTAGTGAGCACTCTCTGTGTTCGTCCACTTAACCAATTACAGATCCACCTCACCGTAGTTTTGCCTAGCCCACATTGGACTAGTTTCCTTGCCAGAAGGTCATGGGGGACCTTGTCGAAGGCCTTACTGAAATCCAGGTACGCTACATCCATGGCATTCCCCGCATCTACCCAGCTTGTAGCTCTATCGAAGAAAGAGATCAGATTAGTCTGGCATGACTTGTTTTTGATAAATCCATGTTGACTATTAGCGATGACTGCATTTGTTTCTAAGTGTTTGCAGACCGCTTCCTTAACAATCTTTTCCAGAATCTTGCCTGGTATCGACGTGAGGCTGACCGGACGGTAGTTGTTTGGGTCATCCTTTTTCCCTTCTTGAAGATTGGGACCACATTGGCCCTCCTCCAATCTGCTGGAACTTCTCCCATTCTCCAAGAACTCTCAAAGATGGTTGCCAATGGTTCCGAAATGACTTCTGCTAGTTCCTTCAATACTCTGAACCATTGGCAACCATCTTTGAGAGTTCTTGCTCCAGAGCCCAGCACAGGAAACTCCTTTCCCGAAATTATCTTATCATCTGGTCTACAAAGGAATGTACAGGTGCAATACAGACTTTCTGAAGTTGCAATCACGTTGAGCTAAGAGAAAGTGCATTTGAACACGATTTGGAAAACTTGTGCATATTGGTTTTCTAATCTATCCATCAGCTTTACCTCTTTTCTTCTTCCCTCAACAGTATGCACCATGACTCCTCAGGACCCAAGCAAGCTTGATACAGAATCCCTGGGATGGAAAATAGTGCAGAGATAACTTCAACCCTATCCTATAGGTTGCTTTGAAATGTCTGATCTTTTCCTTACAACTTTACCTTGTGCTTTTCTGTGATCAGTTCTGAAGGGGTGGTGGGATTGTGAAGAGTTTATTTCAAATTTTTCTCAGATTTCAGTGCAGGATAATCTCCTGCATTAATTAAAGTTACCTCAACCATAACTAAAATGCACGAATATTAAATTCCTTGAGAGAATAAAAAAAAATTAAATCACTTTCAATAATAGACATTCTTCTTTTTCATTTTACTGGAATAACACATTTGTGACAAACTTGCTGAGATGGCTATTGAAAATAATGCTCTCTAAGGTGAGAAGAAGGGCTGGGAAAAGCTACTAAAGAGTTTGGGTGCAGATTTGTGAGGTGCATATGTTCATAAATCTCAATGAATCAATCAAAATGTTATTACAGTCCAAAGGACCAATTGACTCAGCAGTAAAAGGAGCACAACTCTAAACAGATTAATAAACTGATAAAACTAGTTAAATGCAGGAGGACATGCAATACAAGATGCACGTGAACAAAGGGAAGAACACTGAAATTAGATACAGGTCAAATTTAAGCCTAAGTCAAATACAGGAAGCTGTTGTATCCTGGCTACCTCAGAGAGAAACTTGGCAACAGCCAAGGTCACGTGGGGTAAACTGTCGCCTAATAAAAACTTTACAAGGAATTTGACTTCTATACCGAGTAAGTTTCTCAGTACTAGGTTAATAATAGGTAGCCAATCCTGTATATAAAACTTACAGGACAATAAGATGTTATACATACATTCAACATCTTGGTTATTGCATGAGCAAAGTCTTACATTGTATTGCATTGTATGGGAATCTCGCAAATCTACCTTGAAGCACTTCAGATGGGAACATATTGTATCTTGCCTTGGAGAATAGCCAGCTATATTTGGCCACAGAAGTTCTTAAGATAATTTGCTTCATAGAGAGGCCCAGCATAGTGTATACTTAGTTCACTTGGGGAACAAGAAACATATGAGCAAGAGTGCAGCCCACAGAAGGCAATGTCCCACAGTCTTTGTTTAATAGATGTAAGTGCCATTTCAAAGCCTGGATGAGGCCAGGCAAAACCAGCAAAAAAATTCTGGTATTTTGATTTTCTGAGGGGAAATGGCCTGTTGTCCCTTAAGTCTCATAATGCTGGATGTTTGTTTTCCAACTCAATATTATCGGGATCAATCCTTGCATTAAGATCACCCAAATGTATATATGTGAACTAGGAAATTTTGTTAGTAGTGTAAAGAAATACTTCTCGAGTTTACCCCAAATAGCTTCAATCTGAGCTTTAGATTTAAGTGGTGGAATATAGACAAATTAAGACTAGGACCGCAGATACGGAGGGTCTGTGCCCGGTGAGTGTTTATGCTTAAGATCGAATTTCCAGATTAAAGAACACACTCAGCAGGTGAAGACAAGTCACAGAGATTTATTCAATCAGAAAGGGTGCACCCTGATTGGCTGGCACTTTGTTGACATTGCTGTCTCCAGGCAAGAACTTTCTGGCGGAGGGGAAGAGATGGTGAGAGACTGGCCTGTTTGGCAAATGGGCTTAATAACAAACGACCCTCATCATAAAAGTATAAAGCATAGTAGCTTATTTAGCATCAGCATGACCCAGAACCAGTAGCCAGTATGAGATGAAATAAAAACACAGACTATTGTTATCTTCCTTCAGAGGCTTTTCTTGTAGAAAAATAATATGGTTACAAAAACAAGGCTTCCATAACATAAACAAAATTCTTTATACTTCCTTGTTATATCTTTGCTTCAGCTTCTTGCCTTCATGCTGGGCTTCTCTCTCATGTAGATAAGGAACATATAACAAACTTCAAACTGAAACAGTTCTCTCCTTGGAGTAGTCAAACACAGCACTCCTTACACCGAGGCATTCTTCACACACAAGGTCTTCACACAGGAGGAGCAAGTAACTCACAGGCACACCTGTTTATATTACCCTACTGTTTTTGCTTAGTCACTGTTAACTTTCAATATTTCTGAGGTGGCCCAGGGAGGGCCAATCAGCTGTGAAGAGGTGGCTCCCCTGGGAAGAGGTGAGCCTCGGAAAGCCCATGTCCACATTGGGAAATGCTAATGAGTCTTTGATAAGTTCAATTGTTTTAGATCTTGGTGTTGAGGAAGTGTCCTGGGAAAAACAAGGGTGAGAGATCATGAAACAAAAGGTGATGATCTTCTCTAAACAAGCCTTGGGTACTGTTCCATTATCCAGGTGGAGGCCAAAAGGGGGTGCTAGACAGAGAAGGATAGTTCATTTTATTGGGGGGGGGGGTAGTTCAAAGAGGATAACCATTTCCCCTGTTTGTTCTGGTGATTCCCCCTTTCCCCTTCCCCTTCCATAAAGGAGGGTTGTTTCCACCACCACAACATATTTGGGGGAAATAACAGGAAAACAAGGAGAAATGGTTTTACTCCTTCAACCCCCCCCCCCATAAAATGGACTATCCTTCTCTGTCTACCACCCCTTTTTAGCCTCCACCCAGATAATGAAACAGTACCAAGCCTTGGATGTCTAATAAAGGAATTCAAATGAGTGTACACATTTTGAGTCTCTGTTTCTGTGGCCAGCCATCTCTCAGCCTGATTGAGACAATCAGCTGGACTAATATCAGCCAGAGATATCAGATTGGTAGCAGAAACCACCTGCTGATCCACATGTGCACACAATTCACCTTGACATTGAACTTTCTCTAGGGAATTTGCCCAGCCCCAGACATCCAGGAAATTCCTCAGCCAGGTGAGCAAGGGGGTGATGACCCCTGTGGCTCATTCGGGCATAAATCATACTAGTTAATGCTAGTTAATACATACTAGTTAATACTAGTTAATACATATTTGATACATATAAGCAGAGAGTAAAGGATACAAAATAGGCAAAAGATTACAAGAAAAGATACATGTTATTAAAGGATTGAGAAGGGATAAAGTCTCTGTGTGAGATTTGCTGCTGCAGATCTTGTCCACATGTGTGCTGACAAGTATCAGTGCATATCTGCAGACGTTTAATTTAAATATATAAAAATTAAAATGAACTTTAAGGGGAATTGTGGCTGCTGGTTCATCTGCTAGTCTTGCTTTTTGCTGGAGACATGGAAGTTTGGCGGAAAAGGGAAGAAAATTATTCATTTCTTTCTGGTGCCTTCAGATAACTATAAATAATTGGGGTGGGGGATGTTGTGTTCAACAACAAAAGTGCAAAAGTAGATTCCACTCATTCAATTCAGCAAGAGGAGAGGGAAGGAGGAGGATGACAAGTTTTTGTGTTTTCAAATAGGCTCAGGCAAAAAGCAGGTGCGGCAACCTCTCCTAGCTTGCTTGTTTTTCATTAACCACACTCTAACATTGCTTTGCCACAGATCTCCAGGTTTTGATCTGTGAAATTTTGGAGTGTATGAGAAGAATGACTTCATGATAAAACTCATGCCTGGAAGTGATGTCTGGACAACATCTGCCACAATTGCACACCTGAGCCTTCCCATTCAAATAGTTATTTAACAAAATAGAAATGGCTGGGCTAAACCTATGTAGGAAGTTTAAATTATGTTAATTAATTAATTAATTTCATATCAAAAGCATTGCATAAATTAGTATAAAACTGATAAAAATAGAAGGAGCGCAGGCAGCTAAATATCTTTTGACCCAAAACGAGCAACAGCAATGACATTGTCTGTAGCCTCCAACAATTCTTCCTCTGTACATGAGGCAGGGCATAGTGGACAAGCATACAGATGCGGAGTTGTCTGTTCAGCTCCACAGTCACACAAGGTGTGGGATTATTCTACGTAGTGCCATTTTGCCAGGTTGTCTTTTGATCTGCCCACTCCACTTCTGAGTCTGTTCAGATACTTCCAAGTTGCCCATTCTTGGTTTGCCCCTGGAGGCAGACCCTTGTGGGATTTCCTGGTTTAGCTGCCCAGGGTTGCAGCTATTGCTGTTGCTGGGGGGATGCCACGAGGAGTGGGAGTTCTCATAAAGCTTTTCCTTGATTTGGTAGCTATGTAGTGGATGGCTTTCATGGTGTTCAACCTTATTGCTTTCACATTTAGAAGCAACTTCTCGTCTCACATCTGGGGGGGGGGGGGCAATGCCAGCTAGCTTGTAGAGTTTAAGACATCCTGTGATTATTCTGCATGTTTCATTCAATGCTATGTTCACCTGCTTTGCATAGACAGACTTATGCCAAACATGAAAGGCATACTTGGCAGCTGAATAAGTCAAAGCTAGGGCTGATGTACTTATTAATTTTGGGTCTGCTCCCATGTGCTGCCAGTAAGTTTCCACAGGATGTTATTGCGTGCTGCTACTTTGCGCTTGGTGTTCAAGCAGTGATTCCTATATGCTAGTGTTCGATCTAAGGTGACACCAAGATATTTAAGAAGGAAACAACATTCAAGCTCTTGACCTTCCCAAATGACTTAATTTTCCCAGGTAAATAAATGTTAATTAATTTGCCTGATTCTTGTTGGAATCTCAACTCTTTAAGACACCTCTAGTGGACCATCCAGTCCCAAATCTCATTGCAATATGATACGATATATACATCCACCTGGACTGAATATTGTGTGCTTGCAAACCAACCCAAATACTGATACTATCTTGAAATGGAGAGGCCCTTCAGTCACACACACTGCTAGCCTCCCTCCACCCATGCCTTGTCTTTCTGTTCGTTTGCAGTTATTCATTTGAGTCCCACATCCACCCTGCAGGAAACTATGCACTCAGATTACAACAATTCTAACTAGAGAAAAGCTTTATAATACTATGTTTGTTAGGCAGAGGTTAAGGATTACTGGAAGAACCACATAACCCTGTTCGGCCAATTGCTGAACATTTTACTTAGCCAGGAAACAGAGCTACAAGTAGTTATCCCTGTAATCTCAGAAGCCACTAGCTATCAAATTGCACTCACAGCCTCAATCTATGATTATGGTTTTTGGCACCCTAGGGGTGAGAAAGGGGTATATAAATACTGTAAATAAATAAAAATAAATACTTCCTTATTACTTTCTTGCATGCAAGAATGAATAATTGCAATTTTTTGCATATTTCGTGCCTTTGGAGGCTTACTTCAAAAAATCTTTGTGATTTTACAATAAGATGCAATTTCTCATCAAGCAAAAGAAAATTGAAAATATTCTTCAGAAATCTTATTGTAAAAGCTCTGTTAAAGATGTAAAAAATTTAAAAATCACCCC